GCCCCAACCGCCAGGGGGCGGCCGCGCGCTGGGTGGGCCCGGGTGAGTCACAGCAGGTCCCACTGGGCCAGGCTCCTCGGGCGCTGCCAAGACCGGGGGACAGGGATCGGGATGGGTAGGAGCCCAGCACAGGCACAGCCAGCAGGGTGTCAGCGAGTCCTGCTGACAGCAGCAGTTTGGAGGTGCAGGGGGGACCCAGAGGGGTGTTCACAGGCGGTCGGCAACAGGGCCCACGTGAGGACACGTGTAGATGAGGCACTTGGGTACATGGCTTAGCAGGTTGGGCAGCAATGGGTTTGCGGCGGGACTTGATGATCTTAGAGGTCTTTTCCAACCATAATGATTCTGTGATTCTGTGGTTCTACGGTTCTATGACTTTGTGATTGCGGTGGGCAGCAATGTGTCCCCCCAAGGTGACGCGCTCTCCTCCGCAGCGCGGCGCCCGCCCGTGAGCCATGGTGCTGCTCACCCACCTCCTGGCCTGCGTCTTTGGCACCGGCTCCTGGGTCGCCATCAACGGGTTGTGGGTTGAGCTCCCGCTGCTGGTGACGACGCTGCCTGAGCAATGGGACCTGCCCTCCTACATCACCATCATCATCCAGATGGCCAACGTGGGGCCGCTCTTTGTCACTCTCATGCACCGCTTCCGGCCCGGCGCGCTCAAGGAGGTGGCCGTCATCTACGTGATCGTGTCCACAGGCATCCTGTCCTGTGTGCTGCTGGCCTTCCTGTGGAGCCACACGTCCCCCATCGCTGGTGTGCCCCACAGCACCGCCTTCTTGGTGCTCACCTTCTTCCTCTCGCTTGTGGACTGCACCTCGTCCGTCACCTTCCTGCCCTTCATGATGCAGCTGCAGCCCCAGTATCTGACCACCTTCTTCATAGGCGAAGGGCTCAGTGGTTTGATCCCCGCCGTTATCGCGTTGGGCCAGGGCTCCGGCATCTCCAAGTGCGTCAACGTCACCCACGTGGTCAACATCACCTCTGGCAACGAGACCACGGAGGGCAGCATCTCCCAGATGGAGACCCGCTACCTCCCTGCCAACTTCCCCCCCTTCCTGTTCTTCCTCCTCATGGCAGTGATGATGGTGGCCTGCTTGGTGGCCTTCTTCTTCCTCAGCAGGCAGCCCAAGGTGTGGGAGCTCTCGCAGCAGCAGCTCTTCCCCAGCAGCGTCACCCTGAGCTCCTTTGACCGTCTCCCTGAGGATGGAGCTGGCTCCGGGGACCGAGGCAGCTGCCCGTGCCCAAAGGACACTGGGCAGCCCAGGGAGGCCCAGCTAGAGAAGGTCTCCTTCTCTGTGGCCAAGCTGGCCTTCATCTACTTCCTCATCGCCTGGACGAACTCCCTGACGAACGGGATCCTGCCGTCCGTGCAGTCCTACTCCTGCCTGCCCTACGGCAACACGGCCTACCACCTCTCGGCCACGCTCAGCTCCATGGCCAACCCCCTCGCCTGCATCATTGCCATGTTCCTGCCCGGCAGGTGGGTCGCAGGATGCCAGGGGTCCCTCACACCAATGCAGGGTATTTCCAGGCTGCTTCTGTGCCCCGAGCACAGCCCAAAGTGAGTGCCCAAGGGGGAGAAGCCAAGACCTCAGGGTCTTGATGGTCTCCTCAAACCCAGTGGGATGCAGAGCCCCTTTGGGCTGAGATTCCCCAATGTCCCCCAGACCCAACAGGGTGAGGAACCTGCAGCCTCAACAGGGTGAGGAACCTTTTTGCTTTGTGCTTCCTCAACCTTCCCCACCCCAATGGGTGAGGGACCCTCTGGCTCTTGTTGGGCAATCAGCAATGACCAAGACGGAGGACAGGGCCCG